CTGGGCGGGGCGCCCGCCTCCCCGCGGTGGCCGTGGCAGGTCAGCCTGCACTATGCCGGCCTGCACGTCTGCGGCGGCTCCGTCCTCAACGAGTACTGGGTGCTGTCGGCCGCGCACTGCTTCGACAGGTGGGGGGGGCGGTAGAGTCGGGGGGAGGGGGGCCTGGGGAGGAGTGGGGCGCGGGGAGGACGGTGGGGGGCCTGGGGAGGAGTGGGGCGCGGGGAGGACGGTGGGGGGGCGGGACTCCTGACCGTCCTCCCTCCCCGGTGGTCCTGCCCCCGCCCAGCCCCTCCGGTGCCAAGTCCGAGTCCTGCCCCCAAGTCCGCCAGCTGCAGGCTGACACCCAGAGGCCAGCACACTTCACTCACTGGGTGCGGGGTGCACAGCCCGGGACCCACACTCAGGACTGTCTACAACGAGGCTTTATCCTCCCCTCACCCATCTCCTGGGGCGCATCCACCTCGGCGGCCTCTCCAACAGCATGGTCCTCAGGCTAGAGCTGCCCTCCTCCCACACAAGCCCCTTGGCTCTGCGGGGTGAGTCTGGGCCATCTGCCCCCAGCAGGAGGTGCAGCTAGGCCTTGTGCGTGGACATGGGGCTCCCACCACGGGGGCACAGGCGCCTGATGATTCCTGGATTCTCTGTGGCCCCATGCTAGGGTCTCTTTGAGAACAGCTCAGCCGGACAGCCGGACACAGGTCCCCAAGGAGCCACCGCAGGGACTGGGCTTCCAATCCTGACCTCTGCCCCTTTTCAGATTTGTCTGTAGGCACAGGGTGCAGTGGTTTTTGTTCTGACCAACAGGGACAAGAACATTCATGGTTTTGACATGTATGTGGGCATCATGAACCTGAAGGTGGCTGACAAGCACACAATGTGGTATGAAGTGAACCAGGTGATCATACACCCTACCTATGCCAAGTATCACCCTGTTGGAGGAGATGTGGCACTGGTGCAGCTGAAGAGCCCGCTTGTGTTTTCTGACTCAGTACTCCCCATCTGCCTGGCACCCACCAATGTGAACCTTACCAGTGTTTCTTGCTGGGCCACTGGGTGGGGACTGGCATCACAAGGTAAGAACAAAACACAGATCTCAGAAAAGTGGAATGGTGCTGATCAGAGTCTGAAAAGTAGGTAGGAGACCAGTCCAAGCAGAGAGATGCAAACTGTAAAGAACCTACTGGAAATGCTAGAAATAAAAGCTTACTGTAAGAGACAAAAATGTTCTTTTGTGGGCTAGAGGACTGAGCACAGCTGGAAAGAACCAGAACTCGAAGACTGGTCAATAGAAATTATCCATAGTGTGACAGAAAACGAATGTGTGTGAGTGGGTGAGCATTTCCATAAGTCTGGCTGTGCTCCTGTACCAGGGAAGGGCTCCTGCTGGTGTGGGAGGGGCTTGTTGTATCTGGGCGGGGCTTTTCCTGTGAGTGGACAGACTCTCCCTCATGTTGGCAAGAGCTCCAATGTTATCTCCTGGCCTTAGGGACCAGGACCTCACCTGTGGCAGGCTGGAAGAATTCACCTGACTAATTTACTCCTCTCCTCACAGGCCAAACTGTGGATGACCTGCAGGAGATCCAGTTGCCTCTGGTCTCCCAGACTGTGTGCCAGATACTCTACGGGACATCTTACATCATGTCAGACATGATCTGTGCTGGGGACATCTTCAGGTCCAAGACTGTGTGTGAGGTATTCCCCACTACATCTCCTGGAGGCAGGGCTAGGCAAGGGGCCCCGACCCTGGCTCTCCGCAGAGTCGCAGTGAAGGACTGCAGCACACCTGCACTGAGTCTGAGCTCTGCAGCCTTGGGCTGCTGCAGCTGAGGGCAGGGGCTGGGTGAGCTGGAGAGCCATGGGTAACCATTTCTGCTTGTTTAAGCACGTAAGATGGCTCCCAGATTACAGATAGTTCTCTTCCTTTGCAGGGTGATTCTGGAGGTCCTCTGGCATGTGAATTCAACCATATCTGGTTTCAGATTGGAATTGTGAGCTGGGGCCGTGGGTGTGCCCTCCCCATGTTCCCCGGAGTGTATGCTCGGGTCTCTTACTACTCAGATTGGATACGTCATATCGTAGAGATCACACCCCTTCCCAGTCAGCCAGTCCCGGACCTCTGTCCATCTCTGGGGGCTCCCGTTAGTGTCTCTGTGGCCATGCTAACTGCATGCCTGACAGTGTTGTGAGGGCAGAGACCCTCATCCCAAGCTTCCTTGTGGCTGCTGCTGGTGCTTTTTTTTTATCAGTTATGAGGCTTGAACTCTGGGCTTGGGCGCCGACCCTGTGCTCTTCTGCTCAAGGTGAGCGCTCTTACCGCTTGAGCCACAGCACCACTTTCGTCCTTGTGGCTTCTTCGTACCCTATTTCTGTCAAGGGAATGGCCACCCTACAAGGTCCCATGTACCTCCTGCCAGTCTCTCTAGAGCCAAGAGAGACCCAGACATCGGTTAGTGAGCAAAAGGGAAAGCATAAGGGTTCAGCGGGGAGACGTATGTTTAGACTGAATGCATCGAGATAAGATTATTAAATATTTATGAAGCAAGCATATCAAAGCTCTTGAACTAGTTTTTGTACCCTAGAGTCACTACAGGCTTCTTCCCTCATGCAAAGGTGAGTGCCCACAGACAGAAGGAAGACTATAGGTCCACCAAAAACAGGTGCCTACAGACCAAATTGAGCCTTTCAAAACACTGACAATTATACATCACCTGTGGGAATCTGTGGATGAGGAAGGGGCATCAATCATTTTAATAGCCTGGCATCATAACAGAGTTTTGAAGACACTTGAACACCAGTTTGAAAAGACCAAACACACTGGTCCTGGTGGCTCGCATCTGTAATCCTAACTATTCAGAAATCTGAGTTTATATCAAATTACTGTCAGGCAAGAAAGCCCAGGAAAAAAATAAATATGAAGGCCAGTGAGGTAGGTATGGAGGGACTAACCCAGAAGATAGAAAAACATGCCATACAAGCCAGCTACCAGTGGCTCACACCTGTAATCTTAGCTACTCAGGAGACTGAGATCTGAGGATCAGGGTTTGAAGCCAGCCTGCACTGGAAAGTTTGTGAGACTGTTATCTCCAATTAACCAGAAAAAAGCCAGAATGGAGCTATGGCTCTGTCGCGACCGCCTCGACCCGCAAGGATGACGCGACAACAGGTTCTTCTTTCAGACGGTTTATTCAGGACCTTGTTTACAGCTTCTTTTCTCCTACTTCTCTCCTGCCCGCTTCTTCCTTCTTCTTCCTGCTTCTCCTTCCCATCCGCCCCTGCGCTCCGGTTATAAGCCTCCTGGATGGCCAATCCTGAAGTGCCACGTGGCATATACCGATAGGGCTGCAAACACGGAAGCAAACTAGGAGCCAAGTCATAGCCATATAAGGAGTTGTTTTTTACAGAGAGCACTCGTCACGAGGAAGATGGAAGGCGGAAGCCCGCGCCATCTTAGGTCGCAGCCGCACCACGCGGCCCTGCCATTTTTGCTTTTGCAGCCGTCTTTGGTCGCGGCTCCCGCAGCTCTCCACAGCTCCCCCTTTTTTGTTTTATTAAGCAACAGGTAAGAGTAGAGGTTGGGCCTCTGTCTAAAACATTAATGAGAGGACCTTGCACTGGT